TAATTAAATTAGTAAACAGTTAATAATTTAGGAAATAATTTTGGCTTTTATGGAAATACGTGTCCATTTTTTTGAATAATTTTAATTTAGTTTTAATACCCGAGTAATAAAAAGTAAATTCATTAATGATAAGAGTTTAAGTGAGAATTAGGCTTTAATTTTATTTTCTTTCCTGAATTATTCACTATTTGCAAATTACGTTAGTTTATAAATTGTGAATAAGATTAATTTTTATGAGCTATTAATAATTTAGTATTGCAGAAAGTAAATAATGGCATAATTTAAATATTTAAATTCAATTCAAGTAGTCACGAGAGACCAAAAAGGAAAAAAAATACAAATTTCCATTTAAATACCTAAATTAATTAGACAAATTTTCTAATTTCCTAACTTATGAAAAAACTGGATTCCATTCTTATTTGGAATTAGTAATTATGTACGGATATAATTTAATAAATACCCTAATAATATTAATAGTCGATTGATTTTCTTTATTTTAAATAATTACTACATGCAAATATATATATTTAATAGTAATGCAAATTTATTGATGTCTATAAAGAAGTCTTTCGAAATTTGTAAATATTGATGTTTTGTACTTTCAAATAATATAACATAAAAATGACCTTTGTATGATTTTTATGAAACTAGTTTATGAAACAAAGAATGTGTTTGTAAAGGTTAAAAAAAATTTAAATGAAAATATTTACAAAAGGGTAATACAATTTTTAAAAAATTATTTTATTCATCTTTATTAGTATGATTTTTTTGCCCTTTGTTTTCCTTTATTGGAACATAATTTTTCATATAAAAAAATTTAGAATTGAAAAAATACAATCATGATATAGTGATATTCATATATTTATAGTTTAAAGTATCGAATAACACATATATTTTTTAATATAATATATTAAAATAGTTTTAGTGCTCCATGTGGTTTGAAAAATAGGTATAAATACATCATTTGTTTTCAAATTTTTTTAAAAAATGTCTATCATTTCAAAAGTTTGCACATGCAACACTTTGGTTTGCATTATTTTCGGTTCACTTTTTCATTACAAAGGGAGGACATTGATGACTATTTTTGAATCCACATGGAGATTAGTGCCTATTATCATTCTTAAACTTCTTTACAAAATTTTTCTTTATAATGTTTAAAAATTTAAATTAGTTTGTATTTCAAATGAAAAAAACCAAAGTAAAAAATATAACATATACTTGCTCTATCTAAAGTTAAACATTTATGTTTTTAAATTTTCAAAAGTAAACAAACTATTTTTTGTACGTTCAAAGAATAAAAAGAAAAAAAATACTCTCCGTCCCCAATTTGATTACAAATTGGAATTTACGAGAATAAATATCTCACTTTTGAAACTGTTTTATTTACAAATTGGTATATTAACAAGAAATAAAAAATTACATATTAAAAAACTACGTCAAGAGTTCTACAAATCAAGATTTGACACGAATATTTTATTTTATCAAATACTTAATGAAATTACATAAACAAACAAAAGTTATCGAGAAGGGAAAGAAAAAATTGTAATCAAATTAAAAACGGAGAGAGTAGATAAAGAAAGAAAACAAAAGAAAAATAGAAAAAGGAAATGAAAAAACAAAAGGATACAAACATTCCCTTATTGAAAAGTGTATATGTATCCATAAAGTTGACTGAAAAGATTTTCTTTGGACCGTCCAAAAGTTTAATTTTTGGATAAAATTCTTTTTTTCTTGAACCAAGCACAAAATATTTCATTCAACACCAAGGTATCAAGTACAACCCCATACAGCACCCAAACACAGCTAAAACTACACTATACCGAAATGGAAAATGTTAGGGTGACACCACATGGGTGCTACCATGAGTGCACCCATGCTTCGCCTCCAGACAATTATGGTCTGTGTTTGTCTGTGCGAAGCATGAGTGCACTCATGGTAGCACCCATGTGGTGGCACCCTAGTATGGTCCGTTTAATACCTCCAGACTAGGACACAATTCCAATACCTCTACCACCAACAGTTATACCAAACTATTGTTCTAATACAACAAAATGTATAATCCTCATTGAACCATTTGCCACTATGAATCTTTGCATTCCTAGCCTTCCAGATATAGTAGCAACACACTCTGATGCTTGTATAAAATTCTTTTTATAATGATAATTTGATAAAAGTAAATACTGTTTTGGACCGACGCCTAACAATTTTAAGGTATTGTAAAAATGTCATATTATTATTTTTATAATTAAAAAGAATAATTTTTTTGAGACATCTAAAAATATAAAGTTTTTTTATCGACATCGCAAAAAATTACCACCCCTATCCATACCTACACTTTTATCTTTTCTATCATAGTAATTTTTGTACTCCCTCCGTCCCTAAATAGATTACAATTTTTTTCTCTCTCCTCTCAATAACTTTTGTGTATTTACGCGATTTCATTAAGTATTTGATAAAATAAAATATTCTTGTCACCTCTTGTTTTGTAGGACTTTTGACGTAGTTTTTTAATATGTAATTTTTATATCTTATTGATATACCAATTTGTAAATAAAATGATTTCAAAAAGTAAAAATTTTTACTCCGTAACCCGCAATTTGTAATCAAATTAGGGACAGAGAGAGTATCTTTTTCTTTTTTCATTTCCTTTTGATATTGTTTTATTTTAAAAATAAAACACCCCTCTTTTGGACATTGTTTTATTTTTTGTTATCACCCCTCTCCACATCAAATTTAATCTTATAAATAGTGTACAAACCAATTAATTTAGGACAATGAGAGTACAATATAGTATTTGTTTATATATTCTCAACCTTTTAATCTTGAACATTGATAATTGGCAACTCCATATGTTTTCGCAAACTCGGCATTGTCATTAAACCTTTCAAAAAGTACACTCCTGGCTCCGGAATTTTTATTAAATTTAAAGTAGTCATTGGAGTCGAGCAACGTGAATCCAATTTTTTTTATAGTATTATTGACACATCTATAACATAGTATCTATTTATACATACTTTCTCAAACTACTAAAGCACACGGAGTCAACACCCGTGATTCGAATATGTAAAAATCATTTTGGTCGTCCAGTATGTTTCATTGAGTCATCATACAAGTGAAAATGTGAATTTGAACAAGGATATCAAGAGTTCTGTCTATGCACATGAACACAGATCTAGTAGAAAACCTCTGGTTTCAAGAAAAGGTAAGGTGACCAGTTTAAAAGAGAGACTAGCCAGAAAGGCATTTTGATTCCAGAAAAGCTCATCACATTCTATCTAGTCATAACAAAATTTGGAAATCCTAACTTTATTTCAATGGGAATCACATGCAAATTCAATTAAACTATGATTTATTCCATAACAGTTATGTACTCCAATCTATACACTAGACAAATACACATTAAAGAGACCTATTAGGAACAATTGGGCATGATAATACATAGTTTAACTTTGTTTTCTCAAGAAGTTCAACTCAGAAAAACAATGGCATCCTGCCCTCTCTAGTATATCCAACACAGGCAGAAACACAAGCCCCAGTGAGAAGCTTCTAGTACTTTTTATAGGTTCTAAATACAAGTATAAGAGGGTTAGCTCGCGAGGCGGATACAGTTTTATGAACATGTGGACGCACATTTCATTTCAAATGCCCATACAAAGATATGAGCCCCGGGTAGTTAGAAAGGACATTTCTGACTGATGAAACTGTGATTTGCAATAGAAACTGATGAAACCGAGCACTTTCTGGATCGGTAAATAAGCATTAGATGACCGCATCAAAACAACATGAACTTGTGATAAGAAATTTAAACCGCATTTGTGATCACAGATTTCACAAAGATCCCTGTCAAGTCAGGCATACAGTATGATTTGGACTCTTCCAGATAAGTGAGTCGACATTGCAGTTCGAGTTTCTCCACCCTATGGCCAAGTTCTCCTCAACTTATTTTTATTACTCATTACTTATTCTTATTGGAATCAGACCAATCATACCACATTGGAAACAACTTTAAATATAACTACATTTAGATCATAACTTATTCCAATGAGATAAAAACCAATCAGATCATGCAAAGAAAACATGGCCTATGTCTATGACTAATTTCTTCGGTTAGCATTAGCAAACAATCAAAACTCAGCAAAAGAACTCAAGAACATCCTTGCCATGTTTCTAAAAACCATCATGTGCAATTGGCCAATGGCGAATCCTAAGAGGGCAAGGTGGTAACCTGCCATCCCACACATCTCCTATATATAAACAAATACGGAGTATAATTTTACATACTTCGTTCCATCATCTCCGATGGAACCAAAATTTCACCATTTTTTGGCTTTGGGTGTGATATAATGAATCAAAATGGATCTCTAAACTGCCCGCGCTTCTTTAATTAATGAAGTAGTAGTTAGTCAAGCAATGCAACTTTCGACATTGAGCCGGGGGTCTCTTTGGAAACAGCCTCTCTACTTTCGAGTAGGGGCAAGGTCTGCGTACACACACCCTCCCCAGACCCTACTCGACCCTACTCTTGTGGGATTTAACTGGGTTGTTGTTGTTGTTTGTAATTTTACATACTTGGACATATAAATATATTTGTGAATTGTGAGTGTGTGAATATATTTGGACATATAAATATATTTGTGAATTGTGAATGTGTGAATGTGGGTGTGATACGCGTACATAGATGTTACTTTTTTATTTCAAGAAGGATACATACACACCCACTGGGACACACTATACCACACATCTTCTCACTTCACTAACAGCAGGAGGTGAAGGGAAAGATTCTTCGTTACATATTTTTAACTTAACTATTTCTATTTGTTTAGGCATTATGCTTGTGTATACTTAATATTGTTTTAATCAACAGTAGCCGCGATAGGTCAAGTAGAAAATCTCCACTTACCCATCAAAATGTTAGAGTTGTGAGTTCTAATGGCTAATGCAAATGATAAGAGCTAAACTAAATGTTTTTTATATTTCAATTAACACATAAGTCGTGAGACACGTGCATTGACACTATATTGGTTTGTTGGGCCGAGGCCAAATTTCTTCAGACACAAGTATAAAACCTTAACACACAAAATGGTAGATGAGAGCATAGCGAGAGACAACAAAATATATGTTGAATTGATTCAGAACTGGAAATACATACGGAGTATATAATAGATTTTCCTCACAATCAGCTTAGCTATCACTTTGCAAATCAGTAAAGAGTGAGGTGCATTGGACCTGACACTACTTATCTTTGGAGGAAAACCCATAGATCTCTTGAAGCTTCTGAATCTCTTCCTCCTTTTTCTTCTGGTCGAACTTCTTGCTCATCTTGGCTTGCTGATAGTACAGAACAATCAAATACCTGTACAATTTGATTTCCAAAGAATTAAATTCAGAAATCGATTCACAGCAAAAGTCGATAAAAACATACAGTTAGGTTTTTTTTTAAAGATCGGATACCTATTCGCGACGTTGAAACCGGAGAGATGGTCGACGGCGGTCTTGGCGTCGTAGATATCCTCGTAGACGACGAAAGCGGTGCCGCGGGTGTCCTTGTTCGTGCCGATCCGGATCTGCCGGATGGCTCCATACTTGCCGAAGATGTCGTACATCTCCTCGCTGGTGATGTTGAACGGCAGGTTCCGGACGTATAGAACTCGGTTAACCTCCGGCGGCAGACGCGTGTTCCCCTTCCGCAGACTTATTGCCGCCATAACTTCTCTGGATTGATGAGCTCGAGCGACCACAGATTCACAGAACCTTGTGGACGATTGGGACGAAAGGGAAGGGAAGGCTAAAAATCTAAGGAACGCTTTGCGGGTTGGTTTATGGGCTTGTCGGTTACTCGGTTTCAAGTAGAGGGTTCATCATTAATGGGCTTGGATTGGATGAGTGACTCAAATTGAATCACACCGAATGAGGTTGCTTATCGCCGACTGATATTATTTTTTGAAGTTCTGATCTAATTTGATTTGATTGAATATGTTACGGAGTATTATTTAATCGTCTGATCTGCTGTAATCTGACCTGATTGGATGTGATATGCTCTGATCTGATTCGAATAATAATAAGTAATAAGCTGGAAAAAATTAGTTGAACGAAACACTGCCTAAGTCTATGTCCGGTCTCTCGTTATTTCCTCGTCTCAAATGAGTTGGAGAAAGGATATTGTACATCTAGGTGTACCTAGAATTAAGTACACCTAGAAAATATTCATTTTAAATGAATGTAGCTTTCATTCTATAGCAACATATAGTTTATGTCCAAACTTTTGTTCATTATAATTATACGGAGTAATATTTATTTACGAACAACGAGTGTTCATTAGGAAGCAATGTAGTAAAATAGAGGTCGATCTACAACTGCTTATGTTATCTATTTTGGGATCTAGCCAGAACATATCTTAACCCCCTCGTGCAATTTCAATAAAAAAAAGACGAGAACAAAGAGAAAACATGAGCCATAAATTTTCATAGAAAATCTTGCTTCCATGTGTTCCAAATTGTTCAATCGTTCAGTTCCAAATTGTTCTAAACCCATTTAGGTCGTATCTCTCCTCCTTTCTTTCCATGTTCATGCCATGTCTAATACAAAATGCACCCATTATTTATGAATTTCTATCTTCTTCTTCTTCCTAAATTAAAAATTTTCTACATTTGATTTTAAATCCCTAACTCTGTTCGTAGCTTTTTAATTTTGAAAACACTGATTTTAATTTTAATTTGAGATCGAATTCTCTTTGATTACTTTTTTTGTTCAGTCGATTTCAATTTTTTAAAATCTAAAACACTATCTTTATCGTTGCTTTATATTTATATAAATTTGAATAAATAGTGGTATTAGATTGCATTATTATGTTTTTGCTAGACTTGTAGAAAAATTGCAGTGATGTTTTGTTTAAAGTGCATAAGTTGTATCTTTATATTCTATTCAGTAGAATGATAAATAGATGTACTAGAGTGCATTATTAGGATCTAGTATTGCAAACACATCTCCATTCTGTGTGTTTGCATAAACATCCAAATGTGTATATATTTGTTTTTTCAAGAATGTGAACGATTATGATATGCACATTTATTCCACTCGTTGGCATATTCTTTTATGCATATGTTGATCATCTCGTTGCACCATATGATTGAAAGCTTTCCACTGATGACGTTACACAGGTGTTGAAAGGTAATGTATAAACAAAGTTTAATGAAGCACTACGCGGTTACGATGCTGCAGAGGATGGAAGTAAGGCAAACTTTGTCACTATAAAAGAAGCATGCGTGATTAGAGAGAGAAATATAATTTCCTGTTCTTAGATTGTCATACTGCATTCTTAGACGAGCCTTATTTTTAAATTAATGATCTTTAGATTAGTAAGTTTTCAGTGCAAATTTGTTGCAACAGAGGAGCTTGGCAATAAATGAAAGATTTTCTATTTTACACATGTAGTTTCAACCGATAAGGATGTCGTTATCAAAAACTCACAGTGCATATATGCTTTGATATTAACAATGCATTCTATGACTTATACAGTGTATGATTGTTGTTTTAAAGGTAACAATAATTTGTCTATGTAGGAATCAACCCACATTTGTATGCAAATTTATACCAGGGTCAATGCAGTGACCACATGCGGTTGGAAGGGGGACAGGTGTGGCATCGGTGATCGAAAAAGCAGTGTGGGAGGCATGTGAGTCTACAACAGCATTTGCCCTGCGCCGGGTAGCGCAAAAGGGAACATCCATGGGAAGAAAGGCATCCCTTCTACCAGGTGGCTCATTGCCATCACCTAGCCAAATCCCTGGAACGCCTGCAAGTTAGCAGGGTCGTTGGCGAACTGCGCCATGCTTGGTGGGAAGGTCACCCTTTGGCTGCCTGATGGTACGGGGAATGAGACCATCTTTCCAACAGGTAGAGCGGTGATGGAGGGGGCCGTAATGTGGCTAACGCCCAACGAAATTACCACGGTGGAGAAAGCATCTTGGGAGGTGACGGTTGGCACGAACATCCCTTTGGTTGTGGCCTGCCCCTGGACAAATTGGTGGTTGCAATTTGTTGGCTGGTTGACATGGTTGTTACGTGGTGTTTCGTGGGTGAATTTCCTTTAGACAGAATAAAGAACATTCCAACGGTCCCACGGTTGGTGTAAAAAATATAGTGTAAATTAACCACTCGGGCAAACTACTCTAAACCGGGTCTAGGATGGTATGTTCAAATATGAAAAAGTCTCAAAAACCGGAAATTTGTCAGGAGGACTGTAGGTGAGAACACTTGTAGTTTAATTGTTATTAACTGTGGGAAGAGTAGAGTGAGAAATTATACAATAATCTCTATAGAGAGAATCTGGCCCCATCTAATGAAGATTTCAAGTGCCCATGCCTAGCCACGTGCCAGCCATGTGACAGGGTGCCTGATCTTGCAACGCTTCGTCTTGTAGCGCTCGTCCTTGTACTCTGCCAATTATGCTCTGCCACTGTCTTTTTGGTATGTAGTGTTTGGCAGGAATGCTTGAATATATATATTAATATATATATATATATATGTGTGTGTGTGTGTATATAATATATATATATATATATATATATATGTTGGTGCATGAGATATGTCTTGCCATGTCGTTTCCAAACCACTACCCTCCAAGCAGGCCATGCTGTTAGTGTTTACGCATCCAGATGATGCACTCGGCCGACTCGGGTGGTTTCTTCCAAGGGATATTTTGGTGATCTGAAGGTCTTTTGAGCAAGGTTAGTTTGTTGACCGTTAATACTGCGTGGGCCAACCCACCCAAGTAACTTTCAGCCTGACCGGTCAGGCTCTGAACTGCCCTAGTTACCTTGTGAAAACCCTTTCATAGGTCACCCGGTTGGTTCCGGCAGTTTCCCGGCCGGGTCGGGCTTTGGGTGGGAATACATCCATCAGGAGTAATGACATGCGCGGTCCCAACAGGAAGCGCATTCTCTTAGATCCATGGTGAAGCTCACCCGTATTTGAATATGAGCGAATCAGAGACTATGACTCACTATATCTCATTAGATTGAAAAAATATTAACAAATACTATAATGTAATCGAGTCCATACTACTAAAAATATAAAAATTAATAAGGTAGAAACCATCGATTTCGAATAGAACACCATAGAATGCCCGAATCATCCTATGACATTGAGATGAATGTCACAAGAACCAGGGTTGGCCATTAGGGAGACAACAGTCTGTCTGGATTGGGCCCATTAATTTAAGAGGCCCAATTTTTTAAAATATTATATATGTATATATCAAGCCCAGCCCAGCTCAAAGCCCAGAATTCCCCTTCATATTTCTGCCTTTGTCAAACAAAAGCGCCGATTCACCGAACCACTTAAACTAAAAAAACCCAAGAGAGAGAGAGAGAGGCGCAGAGGCCGAGAGACACTGCGTCGCCGCCACCTGCTTGCACGCTCCACTGCTCCAGGCCTCCAGCCTCTATATATCAATTTCTGTGATTTTTTTCCAATTCCCATAGTTTCATTCCTAATCTAGGGTTAATTAATTATTCATTTCTTATTGTCTTGTATCGATTCTTTTTAATTTATTTTTTGAATTATGTGGCAGTTGTGATTTAATTATGTTGTATGGACTTGAAACTGTTATTTACTGTATAAAAAAATTATTAACTAATAATATGAAATCTTTGCTAATTGCTAGTATGATATATGAATGAATTTTGTTTTTCTTTTTTTGGAAATTTAAAGTTTGTATTTGATTTTACTAAATATTACTCTCTCTGCCCCTCAATTTATGTCCACTTTCAAAGTGGCACAATAACCAAGAGACACAAATACCCCTCAACCCTATCTAGCTTGCTTTTAATTCACCGCCCAAAGCCCTTATGTCTTCTTGCGTTAATTAGGGCCACACAAAGCTTAGCCACCCAGACTCCAAACTCATCGTCACCCCATAAACCTCCATCAGTCCAGCTTCCAACTACAACTCTCTAACAATCAATCCACAGCAAATTCAAAAAAAAAAAATTCTGAAAAAACATTTTAGATTTAGATTTAAAGAAATCTAGGTGGAGGGGATCTAGATCTTGAGAAGAGATCCCTTTCAAATGCATCTAGTCATCGCCGTCGAGGAACACATCCATCTCTTATCAACTATTGACTTTGAAGATGAGAATAGAGAGAGAGAGAGAGAGAGAGACGAAGAAGAAGAATTGGAGATGAGAGCTGAGAGATGAAGGGGAATCGAAGGAGATGAAGAGGAAGAAAAATCAGAAATGGAGATGAGAGAGGAAGGTGAATTTGAGATGAAGATGGAGAAAAGAGATGAAAGATGAGAGGAAGACGAAGGGGATTTGGGGATAGAGATTGGGGGAAAATATGGAAAACGTGATAGGTGAGAGAGACTTTTGTACCTTTGCAACACATTTGGGTGTAAGGGTATACTAGACCTTTTATTTAATTTTTGTTTCCATATAAGGAAAGTGGACAAATACTCAAGGACGGAGGGAGTAGAACTTATGAATTTGAATTTGATTTTAAAAATAATTCAATATCTATAGCTTCTAAACATCTATCTGATAGTCAAAAACGTAAAAAGAGAAAACAAGATGAAGAAATGAAATCTTAGAGATTATAGATTGTGAAGATTTGATCAATCATTTTGCTCTCAAGAATGCAAGAATTTCACCAGAAAATTACTCATGAGTGACGCGAGTTTTGTTGAAATAACTCTCAGGTCCCTCTATTTTCAAAAAGGCAGCAGAGGTCCTTACATTTTGTTGTAATAACTAGAAGGGGACATTTCATCTATAAACGTTAATAAATGTATTTTTTTCCTATTTTTTTCTAGATGTTTTAAGGTAATAAATCTTAGGTCGCTCCTTTTTTTATTTCTTTGTTTTTCTTTCATTTTGTTACTATTTTTTAAAGTGTTATTTTAAAATTTCTCCTATAAAATGGTATAAAAATTCAAAATTGTTTATATTATATTAAAACAAATGAAATAAAAAAAATTCTAAAAAAAGAAATAACAAGGTAATGGCAAAATAAGAAAAACGGTATTGGAAAAATAGGAAAAAATACATTTATTAACACTTACGAATGATGTATTGGATGAAATGTCCCATCTCAGTCATTACAACAAAATGTAAGGACCTCTGCTGCCTTTTTGAAAATAGAGGGACCTGAGAGTTATTTCAACAAAACTCGCGTCACCTGCGAGTAATTTTCTGGAATTTCACGGGCTAGCATTTACAATATGTAATTTTACTATTATTATTTTGTCATTTACTTATTTTCTTATAATATTATTGCGTTAATTGAAATTTAAATATAATTAATTTATGTATTTTAATTTTTTGGACCATTAGAGATAAAATTTTTAAGACTTTTTTCTTGTGTTCGCCCATGCCATTCAATTCTTGGCCTTACAAAAACCAAGTCTATTTTAGTAGAACAATGCTAGGGGTACATCAAAAGGTGTACCCCAAATGTACACCACTCCTTCTCCACCACATATTTTTATTTGATTTTTATTTACTTATTTTTTTTAATTTTTTTTTCCCTTTTTTAGTGGACAAGGAGGGGGTGAAGGACATATGGTGTAGTGGGAATTTTTAGTGTACCCAAACATTTTTCATTTTAGTATCCAGGCATGATTCTAGTGGGAATACCGCTGACTTGTTTTGGTGCCACCATGGCCCCCACAAAACAAGTTGCATTCTTTTACTCATCACTAGCCTGATTATTAGCTTTGCGGGCTCCACAAAACGAACTTAGGAATTAGGATTGTTCATTTTGATTGTCTTTCTATTTCCCAATTCAAATTGTATCACACTCTTCATTTGCAAAAAAAAAAATCACATTCAACATTTCCCGAAATAGCCAACCTAATGTCATATTAATAATATTATCATCTCTCGTTACTCTTAAAAGAAGCCGGTGAACAGTGTACAATTGACAAGGTAAGGAGTGTCAAAGGTGTAAAATTCGAGTTCGATTTCTGGTAACTACGTTAGGAGACTCTATTCTTTGCCACCAATCTGCGATCAAAGTCTTACTTACCTCCTAAGAAAAGGATGAGCCATATCCCTGAGGGCTCCCTCAGACCCGATCGGACAGCCACCAAGAGGATGTAAGTTGAAGATCGCAGATTGGTGACAAAGATTGGAACCTGCACCTGATGCTTACATAAGCCTTATGTTTAGAATAATTACCCCCAAGGGTAATTGCTAGAAATCGAACTTCATTCGGCCCTTAAATTTCTTCCCTTATTGACTTTTTGAGAATTTAATGGAAAAATATTTTTGTCTTACTTTCCAAAAATACCCTTGATGTGATGGTTTAAAGTAGGATACATGTGATGGATAAACTATTAGTAAAAAGGTATGATGTGTCAGTAGGGTAAGATTTAATAGGGGTAAAAGCGGTTTTTAATAGAAAATTGAAAGAGTTTTTGGGACAAAAAAAGTAAGGAGAAAGAGTTCAGAAGACGAAGGAGTATTTTTTTTTATTAAAAAATAGATGCTTATTTAAGTAATAGGGAAATGTTTACTTTGCTAATATGTAGGTCCATGGTGAACCTAGAATCCACCATAGAATTTGTCTTTTGTGTTAGTTGGTTTGAATGAGTATTTTGAATTAGCTGTTTTGATCGGCTAATTGTATTGGCTGTTAAGAAAAGCTTGCTTGGCAAATTCGGTTGCCCATAAACATGTGTTTGTAGTGGAAAATGGAAATTACATTTTTATACATCTCTCCAGATATGTCAACATTAATTTGTTATTGTAATCATGAGTTTAATGTTTTAAAGTTTGATAAAAATACACAAACTATATAAACAAATTATGCGCTTGAAACTAGATTGTGTGGCTGAAAATTTTAAAAATTACTTTTACTGGTGTAGTTTTTTTTCTTCGTCCATCATGCAAAATTATATGAATACATTTTTCTTCTTCTATTTTTGTTAAATACTTAAATATGTATGGAACTCTAATTACTATAGCACCTTCAATTCCTTTGAGTAATTGGAATATTGATGAAAACGTTGCGGTGACTGGCTTTTCAAATTTGAGTGGTTTGGATCTAAAAGCCAACTTTAAAATCCACATTCCAAACATTACTTTTGGACCTTTTGGTCAAAACAATCATATATGGTCAAACAACTAAATATGGGCTGAAAAGTCATTTTCCAACAAAACTTATACGGAGTATATATCAACATAAACATGACCTCAAGGGAGCACTATAGCCTACTCTGTAAGAGGTGTCAAAAATATTTTATTTTATTAAATAATTAATGGAAATGTATAAGTAAACAAAAGTTCCCGTGATGACTTTTCCAATATAGGATCATATGTTTTTATTTCCCAATGTAGGACTTTTGGTCATTATCAAGTAGTCATTATTCAAGTAAATGTCCATCATTAGAGGACATTATTCCTCCCACTAGGTCATTATTAAGTCTTATTTAGGGAATAAAAAAATTTAAGTCCTACATTGGGAAAATCATTATGTTTTAGTCCTATTTAGTGCAAATTTTACAAGTCTTATCTTATATTCTTATCCCATTTATTATAATTAGTTGGGAGTAAATATAGATCACTCTTTTCATTTTTCATTATCTATTTTCTTTTACTACAAAATTTTGACCAAAAAAATCTTTTAAATATATAATAAAACATTTTAAAACTCCATGCATCTTCCCTAACATTTTGGGGGCAGAGAATGTATAATTTTTTCATTTGTGAATTTCAACTCTGATCTTATTCTATAATTATTTAAAATTATTTAATTTTTTCTTTATTTGAGGTGTACAAATTGTAATTACTTTTTAAATGTTTAATTACAGATTTCATACCAGTCCCTAGGAAGAAATGAAATGTAGTTAGGGAAGTTAATCCGATAATGTCCATAATTTTAAAACTCTTCTCGACTTCAGGGATCAATAAATCTTATCTTATATTCTTATCCCATTTATTTAAATTAGTTGGGAGTAAATATAGATGACTCTTTTCAATTTTCATTATTATTTTTTACTACAAAATTTTGACCAAAAAATTATTTTAAAATATATAATAAAACATTTTAAAACTCCACGCATCTTTCCTAACATGTTGGGAGGGAGAGTGTACAATTTTGTCATTTTTCCACTTCAGCTTTGATCTTATTCTATAATTATTTAAAATTATTTTATTCTCTTTATTTGAAGTGTACAAATGATAATTACTTTTTAAATGTTTAATTACAGATTTTATACGAGCCCCTAGGAAGAAATGAAATGTAGTTAGGGAAGTTAATCGGATAATGTCCATAATTTTAAAACTTCCCTCGACTTCAACCATCAATAAATCTTATCTATATTCTTATCCCATTTATTAGAATTAGTTGGGAGTAAATATAGATTACTCTTTTCATTTTTCATTATCTTTTTTTACTACAAATTTTGACTAGAAAATTCTTTTAAAATGTATAATAAAACATTTTAAAACTCCATGCATCTTCCCTAAAAAAGAGATCACATTTTTTTTTGTCAAAAATCATGGTTTTATCAAATAAGTAACGAAAACAAATAAAAAAAAGTAATAAAAGTTTGACCCTATGAATAATAATGGAAACGTTTTAGCAGAGAGGGGAGTATTTTTTTGAAGTTAATTGTTTAAAATTGAGATTTAAAGTACAGTACTCGACTGGTCGTTATCCGTTCATTATTTCCCTCTTCTTTCTCCCTCTCATGGAGCTTTTCCAGTAACTGCTTCTGTGAAATTTTACAGTATAAAAGAGAAACAACAAAAAAACATACACACTCAGACTTCTTGTCCGTTTCTTGCTCAATAATTCACCATTTACTCATAGTCACCAGCATCGTCATTATCGTCATCATAGTTTTTTTTCCCAGAGAGAAAAATCAATCAAGAGATCATTGATCAGTTGAATCATGCCGGGACACGAAGAGCTCCCAGTCCCAATCTACACCGCTCTGGAGCCGGTCTACGGCGCCGGATCGCCGTCGGAAGAGGCGGAGCAGCGGTTCGGTGTTCTCAAGGCCAAGTTCATCGAGTTCTACGGCCATCCTCCCGATTGCTACGCTCGATCCCCAGGTGAACTGGAACTGTCCTTTTGGTTTTCGTTTATGTCTCTTCGTTCGTGTATTGTCCTCTCGAGTGTGATGAATTTATTGTTCGTAGGGTTTGATCCGATTTTTAGGGTTTTTTTTGCTGGTTTGATTTGTGTTTTGTGATGAGCAGGGAGAGTGAATTTGATTGGGGAGCATATTGACTATGAGGGGTACTCTGTCCTGCCGATGGCTATTAGACAAGATACGATTGTTGCAATTCGGAAGCACGGCGCCGATGAGCCTGAGAAGCTTCTCAGGATTGGGAATGTCAACCAGAAATATGCTATCTGCACTTACCCTGCTGATCCCGATCAGGTTTGACGCCCTTTAGTTAGTAACTATACCATTGTATCATTGATCTATTCAATATTGCTTCTTCTTAAAATTGAAAATTCTGCTCAGTAGATGTTAAACAATGATTGTTTTAAAGACAAAATTTTGGCATTTGGTTTGCTGCAGTTTGCTAAATTTGACTTGTGAATCTTGCTTGAGGTTGTTGGTTTTATTGAAGATTATTATTCCACATTTCCTTTTCTGCCATTCCCAAAATGAATTTGACTTGTGAATCTTGCTTGAGGTTGTTGGTTTTAGTAAAAAAACTGAATTTGTGCACAACATTTATAATAAAACTGTTTTTGTGAATACAGGTGATTGATCTTAAGAATCACAAATGGGGTCATTATTTTATTTGCGGGTAAGATGCGGGCTTCTATTGTTCATAATATTCTACTTTCTAGTGAACATGTCTAGTTGTTTCGTTCGAAGAATTCTCTGTGCACACAAAGTTTTCTTCTTTCCCTTACGCACGCCTCTTTATATGATATCTTCAGGTATAAGGGTTTTTATGAGTATGCCAGATCAAATGGAATAGATGTGGGCGTTCCAGTTGGACTTGATGTTCTCATCGACGGCACCGTCCCAACAGGTAGTTATTTATGCATTATGTTTTGGCTGTATGGAACACTATAATCGCTAGCCGTCTTTCACAACAGTCTCTCTACCTTTTTAGGTAGACATAAGGTTACACCAACCTTCCCCAGACATCACCTGTGGGATTTTATTGGGTTTCTATGGTTGAACATGGTAATAAATGTTACACATGGGTTTGGATTTCTGAGGGTCTTATTCTTTGCCTGTGTAGGTTCTGGACTTTCAAGCTCTGCTGCATTTGTTTGCTCTTCCACCATAGCTATAATGGCTTCTTTTGGTGTCAGCATAAAAAAGGTAGTAATGTCCACATGAACATCATGCACTTTTCATCACATGATCTTAGCATTTGAAAAGCGAAAAGGGCATTTGAAAGACAAAAACAAGTTTTCACTTTTGGAAAGCTGTCTGTTTTATTCTTTGAATTAGAAAACATGCTCTAGATGTAAAAAAATAACAAACCTAGTGTAATTATAGTATCACACGGGTCGGATCTCGTTGGAAAAGATGTATGTATTGGAAGTAAAGTGCTTTTGGGGAAGCGTTTTGTTGCTTTTGACTTTCTGAATGCATTTCATGGCAAATTTTAACAAATTCTAATACTCATTCCATCTTAAAATCTCGAGCCTTTACAGAATGTCGTGCGAAGCTCTCATCAGTAATATATCTTAAAATACATAGTCAGGATTATAAAATTTACAAATCTTGAAACCACTTTTTTATCGTAAATATAACCATACAAAATGATTTCCCCCATCGATAAATACTCCGTAAAATTCATGCTTACTATTCAGTATTCACAAGGTCAAACTATATCTTCTTTATTTACTTCAATCATTTGTTACAATAAAATAGCCAAGTCATTTCTTGTTCTATACTCCATGTATCTTTTGATGTAGTTTTTAAATATATACGTTTTATTTTTTTAACTGTGCATCAATATTTAAATGAATTGAATTGAGAAAATAACTTTGGTCATACATTGTAAATAAAAAATGAAGTTTACGTAGGGATGGAGCCAATGGAGTAGGGATGGAGCTAATGGAGTGAATATGATTCTTTTTGTATTTTAAGAGTAATTATTGATAAAAGGTTGCCTTAAAAAATTGGCCTAAGGTTGGCAAGAATTTTCGTGAATAAGATTTTGAGACGGATGGAGTATCATCCAATCAAGAGTCAAGACTCCAAACACTAGTCTTGTTGATACTGACTGACCTTTAAAATAACTATATTCTTAAAATGGATTTGCCTAAAATGAACTTGAAGCAAACTGTCATCCATACATGCACTAGTCTTTGAGATTGCATTCCAAAACATAATATGGAATACTTGGTTTCTATGAGTCTCAATTGCATTCTTCAAAAGTAAAAGACACATGTTTTCTTCTTTTTACACAGAAAGAACTTGCCCAACTTGCATGTGAATGTGAAAGACACATTGGCACACAGTCTGGTGGAATGGATCAGGTATCATCGTATCATTATATTCTTCTTTCTCGATTTGGAGACGACCAATGCTGATCTGTACAACGGTAGCACTTCTATTTGTTTAATTTTTTGAAACCCAATGCCTTTTACATTAGTGTTCACTTCCGCACAGGCAATTTCTATCATGGCTCAATCTGGATTCGCAGAGTTGATTGATTTCAACCCAATACGTTCTACTGATGTTCAGCTTCCTTCTGGTGGTTCTTTTGTTATAGCTCACTCTTTAGCTGAATCCCAAAAGGCAGTCACTGCTGCTGTAAACTACAATAACAGGGTTGTTGAATGCAGGCTAGCTTCTGTATGTCTTCTTTTATAATTTTATTTGTTACTTCAAATACAGTTTTTCCCTCTGGATACATGTTTTTTCTTAATTAATGTTTATATTCCTCTGTTCTATGAACTTACATTGAGAAACTAGCTGTGTGATGCTGTTAAATGATTCGTGTTTATGATGTATTGCAGATTGTACTGGGAATCAAACTTGGGATGGATAGTCGTGAGGCCATATCGAAAGTGAAAACACTATCTGATGTCGAAGGATTATGCGTATCATTTGCCTCTGCTCGTGGGTCTTCTGATCCTGTCATTGCTGTCAAAGAACTTTTGAAGGAAGATCCATATAGTGCTGAAGACATTGAAAAAATAATAGAGGAAAAACTGCAAACAATATTTGCCAATTCCCCCTCCTCTTTGGATGTATTAGAAGCCGCAAACAACTTCAAGTTGCATCAGGTACTCGGACCAAACCACTCATGAAAATGTGTTCTTGATACATGTATTTGTTTCAATATTTTTGCTCTTCTAGAGTTTACCATTCAAATTTACCTTCCAGAGAGCTGCTCATGTTTACTCTGAGGCTAAGCGTGTGTACGAATTTAAGGATACCGTATCATCAAGTATAAGGTGAGTCATAAATAATACTCCCTCTGTCCCAAAATATTTTACACTTCGCGCAAAATGAAGCGAAATTTTAAGCTTTTTAATTCATTTTATTTAAAGATTGGTATAAAATTAAAAATAAAACTTCCATATTTAAAAATTATGTCAAAAGTTCTATAAAACAAGAGGTGACCAGAATATTTTATTTTATCGAGTAATCAATCAAAATGCACAACCAAAAGTTTTCGTGACTTTTGAATAGCGAAAAGTGTAATTCTTTTTGGGACGGAGAAAGTATTTTCTCTAACAGTAATGGAATTGGGATAAATATGCAAATATAAAACTGGGTGCATATACTAAAAGCACTTTGCTATTCATTTCAAGTAACATGCTACTATTATTAAAAAAAAATAAATTTTGTTGGTAATCTATAGATATTTGTAAGTAGGCCTAGAATATATGTTTTGAATTTTGACCTTCAAAATTCGCCTTGAAACTGCCTCACTAGACTGTGTAAACACCACTTGAGAACACTGCCAACTACGAAATCTCTCCGTGTAGCATGTTGCAAGTAGAGAAACAATCAAACAAACCCCTTTATTTCTTGCTGATTCGTGGGCTGTCCCTGTAGTAAAATCTTGTCTTCGTTTTCTTGACTGCAAACTGCAATTAACATTTAAAAAACATTGCAACACAGTGAAGAAGAAAAGCTGAAGAAGCTTGGCGATCTTATGAATGAGAGCCATTACAGTTGCAGCGTTCTCTACGAGTGCAGGTACACTACCTCTGGCTTTGGTGTTATTTAAGATATACTACGTATGTTTTGGGTTATCACTCAATTATTTGGAAGACCTCCATGAAATAAATATAATGCTTAGTATATGGATTGTGTCATTTGTAGGAATAGATAGTACTCCATGTATCCGTAAAAAAGTGTTTTGTTTAACAAGAGTATAACTTAGTTTTAGTTAGGTACAACTATTGTAAATCATTAAATATAGCTAAAAATTGGAAAGTTATCTGATTATTTAACTAAATTTAACACACTCAAGCGAATAAACTTGTTTGGGACATTTTAAAAATTATTTAACATCGCATATGATGAAAATTAGCTTCTTTTGCGGAGATGGGACTCTTTTGTTGGAACAAAATAAGTTTCCAAATGTGATTGTTTTGGGACGATGGGAGCAATTCTTTTGTGTTCTATAACTTGGAGTCCATGTTTCCTGCACATACTTTTATGTGTCGTTGATTTTGTTTTCTCTTGTTACCTCCATAAACAAACAGCTGTCCAGAGCTCGAAGAACTTGTAAAGATTTGTCGCGATAATGGTGCTTTGGGGGCCAGGCTTACAGGTGCAGGATGGGGAGGTTGTGCTGTGGCTCTAGTTAAAGAAAGTCACATACCTCATTTTATACTCAATCTGAAGGTCAGTTTACTTCTTGACTGATTGGAGTCATTTCGTATTCCGTTTGGTGGGTTAAATTTGGCTGAAATAGATGAATGGCCTAAGTTTTGCTGAATTTGTGGATGGAATAACAGACTGCTGATTAGGCTGAAATTTCTTAAAATGTGCTCATAATGGATTTTATTAGTAAATTAAGGGAAACAATGGATTTTACATTACACATATAGGAGGTGTTTTTCTGTGCTGGTGCTTATTAATTTATTGCTGAAAAAACAATTTTTAACTTAGAAGCTACTTATAAGTCAAATATTCTTTTTGTGGAAGTGTAATGACTTAAATGATAGATAAATCATTTGTAAATATTCATAAATGATGACGAACAGTTTTGTAAATAATCTGGTCAAAACGGAGAAACAAAAAAACTGGCTTAAAAATAAATAACAAAGACCTTATTTTTTCTGGCTTATAAGTCAATTTATAAACACACAAAGTTAAAAACTGCTTATAAGAAGTTTTGGCCAGCTTATAAGCAGAGAGAAATACTTATACAATGAGGTCAGAAGTGTCATTGATCTTCATTAGTTGATTTTAGCCAAAAAGTAGTTCTACCATATCTTTAATTATTTCCGGCTAATGTACTTAAATGATTTCAATATTAGTGAAGTTATTCTTACAACAAAACGGCCATGAGTTCTTGTAAAATTTCAGGATGACGATCTGTGAGTTAGCTTTCAATCCAAAAAATAATCCAAGTGAATTCTTGAAAGATAGGAATGTTTTAAGATGTGTTTTTTCTCCCCAAATTGGTTTTTATAAATTTTCCCACTATAAATAGTAAAATAGATTCCTTTTCTCTAGTGAAAAATGTATGGTGCCAAACAAAGTGTTTGTTTTGTGTCCATTATTATATGAAGTTTAAGACCCACTCATCATTGTTATACCTTTCCTGTCTAGGACCAATTTTACCAATCAAGAATTGATAAAGGAGTCATCAACAAGAGTGATTTGGGCATGTATCTCTTTGCTTCCAATCCCTCAAGTGGTGCTGCCATTTTCAAATTTTAGTTGCAGTCAGTCAATCTTTCTTGTTTCCTTTACAATTTAATGATGATTATCATGCACTCATCTTTGATCTCTCTTTGGAAAATAAAGCAATTATTATTATTATTATTATTATTATTATTATTATTATTATTATTATTATTATTTGCTTCCGAGCATGATAATTGCATCAGTGTATATTTGTGGTATGTGATTTGATGGGAGTATCTCTATATCATAGCTAATTGTTCTTTGAGGCTGGGTTCTCTAGTTCCATGTTATTGTCATTTTGGCCTTGTTTGGGAGCAATGTTTTGAATTAGCGTTAGCATTTTGAATTAAAAATTTTTGACGTATATTAATTCTGGAAAAGCTAACGCTAAAGGTTATCGTCGGATAATTTTTTCAAAATGTTAACCTCTAATGTTGATGTCAAACAAGACCTTTATCACTCTTTGTCTCATATATATCTCCAGGGCATAGGCTTGGCGATTTGATATCTTTTTCAATCATCAACCCCCGTTGACTACCATTATTAATGCCAACTACCTTTGTTGCTGACTACCTCTATCGATCACCAATTAGAACACAATTTTAATTCTCTCAAACCACTTTCATTTTAAATTTCAGAATTTATGTCACCTTTTTTCAGATTTCAAAATTAATAAAATATTGTATTTCCAAAGCTCACCAAATGGGTTCTAACTTCTAAGTCAAAATTTTTAGTATAGAAAACTACTCCGAAGTACCATCAATTATCTGGTATTTATGTAGGATTGAAAGTTGTTACTTTGACAAACTCAAGAATTTTATTAAAATTTAATAAATTGAAATATATTTAAAACAATGTTACACACTTACACATGACGCCGGAGTAATTTTAAGTTTTATAGTGTCCCCTTCTTTGTGGGTTCTAGATCAACAAGATTCGATTCCGATGAAAAAACTATCCAATAAAATTTAAGGAGAAAGCCAATTAAAAAAAATTCTATATACGTACTTAATTATCAGAAGAAACAAAAACTGTAAAAATCTAATCTAATGTGAAGAAGGCGGCCGTCCGCCGGCGACTACTTGACGGCGGCGGCCTTCCGGAGCAACTTAAACCGGAAGGCGGAACAATTGAAGTCCCAATAAAGCCCGACCTCGTCCTCCGGCGCCAAGTTCCGGTCCTTGAACAGATCCATACACGCCAGCACGTAGTCGTCGCTGGGCAGCACCTCGAAGCAGCAGCCGGCGTACCTCTTCGGCGGGCAGCTCTGCTCCGCCGCCGCCGTCACGTCCCACACCTCCACGGCGGTCTTCTGACCCAGCACCACCCGGGTCGCCGTGCACAGCCCCCAGTACCGGAAAACGTGCTCCATGGTCTCCGCGAACGGCGCCACCAGCATCCCCGTGATTACCTCGTACTGCGTCAGCGTCTTCCTTATCTGCCACGGGTTCGCCGGGTCCGCCGCCGGCGGCGGGAGCACGTCACGTGCTTCCACCAGAACACGTGACACCTGCCCTGCCGCCTTGGGCGACGCTTCTTCTTCGCTTTTGGTCGGGAAGAAGTTGTAGAAGAAGGTTTTCTTCATCATCATCATCTCTATATCTTTTCTTTCTCTCTTTTTAATTCCTCTAATTTAAAGTTGATTATAATTGTATTATGAATTTATCATATGTATTTATATTGATTAAAAAAATAATGAGGATTGAGTATGTTATATGCAGGGGGTTTATTAATTTAAGAAGGTTTAAATCTCCATGCTGCAGGCTAATAATTACCCGAATAAATATGGAATGGGACGATATTGGTAATTATATAATTTGTTCTTTTATTGAAAATAGTTTCCTTTTCGGTTTATTTTGAGATCTTTCTCATATGGTGGATTCTTTATTTCAAAGATTAATATATTTAAATATTTCTTTATCTGTAATATCTAAAGATATCATAACCTTTTTTAGTGTTTAGTAAAGCTAAAGAAAATATCGAATTTGATATCTTCAAATATAACAAATTATCTAAATGAAAGGTTTCGATGTCTCTTAAATTTCGAAGAGCTTTTATCAGAGGAGTCATTTGGGAGATATTAATAAGAGAGTTTCATATTTGTCAGACAACTCTATTTTAGATTTTAAAATCCATATAATTTTTTTCCAAATTTCAAAGCTATATCATATCTACAAGACTCACAAGAAGAATCCTTAAATGTAATGCATTGTAATTTGGGATTTTACAAAACTTCACCATCTCCAACTATGAAGTATTGTCATTCTCCACTTAAAGACAAACTCACATGTCTCGCGACACAAATCATCCTGATTCTGCAAAACTTTCAGTCTCTCGCATTCGCAGCAATAATCGGAGATCGATTAGTGACTCAATAATCGCATCCCTACATTCACCCTACCCGTAATGTTATTAAAATTGGATTAGACGTGAACTTGAACAAGCCAATGGGTCATGTACTAACCATTCAACTAATCAAAATAAACTATTTTATACTCCATTACTAGACATTCTTCATTAATAAAGGTACTTTAATATGCATTCTTTCATTCTCCATCTAATTTCGAGTGTTATTGTGCATATATTTTTTCACGCTTTCTATTTTTAAATTTATATGTAATATTATTTTTTTACTAATACTAAAAATAGTAAATCTAAAAACATTACATGCTAGTACATGTGTTTTTATACATAAGATTATTATGTAACATTTAGGACTTATATTAGTTTATGAAAATTAGTATCACATATGTGCATTGCATGGCCCGTATTTACGGTATAAAAATATGTTAATGTCATTATTAAAGAAAAAAATAGACCATATAATGGAATATAGAACTTTTCATTATTTTAAAGCATGAATATCAAATGAATTACATTGCATTAGTAATAAAAAATTATTATAATTATGATTATTATTATACATGTATATATAAATACTATCATTATTGTTTCATAATACTATTATTTCTATAAGTAATAATGAATGTATGTATATGAAATGTTGTTTTTATTGTATTAGATAATGAACGTATATATATTGAAATGTTATCTATATTATATGAACGTATATACATAGAATTTTTGTTTCTATTATATTATTATTTTCGTAATATTATTATTTCCAATATATTTTTGTTCCATATAATAATATTATTTCCACAAATAATAATGAACGTATATATATTAAACACACTCAAAATATTTCCTTGTATAGCCGTATAGGGAATTGAATATTTCCATATATAGCGTAACACACAAAAAATATATAACAACAATGATCATATATAACAAATGTGTCCATATATAACAAACATGATATTTCCATGTGTAACACAATATATCCACATATAATAATGCTAATACTATTATTATTAATACCCCATCTTATATTTTTGTCCCATTAATCTTTTTTATATATTTATATGAACTTTAAACTAAAATTTATATTAATTTTAAACTTATTATTATATTATTTTTATCATTATTAATATTGTTATTGGGTATTATATTAACGAACTCAATATTGACCAAAGGGAACCAAAAAGAAAACTATTAATATCAGACTTTATATTCTCATTCCTTTAACTATTTTTTAATTTATTGATGTGTCAAATTTGGGTCAATTTGTTGACCCAACAAAACTAAGCATGTTTGGGATGAAAAGTCACGATTGCCAAGTTTTCATGCAAAGCCTAATTGTCATTGCATTTAGACATTTGTCGTCGAAGGGTGTACATGAGGCTTTAATTGAGCTCAACAACTTCTTTCATTGTCTGCCGATGAAATGTGGACGTACGCTAGAGAAAAACATAGTTGTCATAGTATGTAAGCTAGAGACAATATTTCTCCATGCATTGTTTGACAGCATGGAATACTTGCCGCTTCACCTACCATGGGAGGCTAGTGTTACTAGTCTAGTTCATTTTCGATAGATGTACCCTGTTGAGAGGTAAAAATAGAACATGATAATATGTGTCGATTTATATATGTTACACACATAATTATTTCACGTATTCGCTTGTGTTATGCAAATACCTAAATCGTTTGAAGCAAATCGTAAAAATCAAAGCAAGGGTAAAAGGATCTATTATATATTGTGAGAGAAGCATCTCATTTTTGTTCGCATTACTTTGAAGATCGGACTACAAAGCGTACCGCATAATGATGAAGTAAATGTTCCTGCAGCCAGCGAAGGTAACCTAAGAAGTTTCTAATGTGCAGGATGCCTAAGCGATAAGATGACAAAACAAAGACTTTCTAATGATGAATTAAAGGCACTGCATCATTACCTTATGCTAAATAGTATCAAGATTGAACCATTCATTGAGTATGTCTCTAATTTTTTCTATTTTTAGTAAACCATTCAGTGAGTGTACACTTAACGCATATGATGTTGTACATTACTGGAAATAAGTCGAATCATTAAGTGACTCAAATCCTGATATTACTGATGAGGTTGTACTTCTATAAATGGAAGAATGTTTCGCATCATGGTTTGAAAAAAAATGTTTATATACCACAACCTTAATTCAGTTAACAACTCAATTCCGTCCTTTAGTTATAATAATGAGACAACTCAAGCTATTCATGATTTGTACTCTTTTTAGGCTTGGGTAAATGTCGATACACCTCAAGTTATTCGTGATGTATCGAGGAACCTGTACCAGTTGTGAGTACATGCCTAATTTATTATGTCAATGATTATCGCTTTCACACTGAAAGTCATGGTGCCAAACGTGCCATGTTTAATAGTGGTATGATCCACGACCTAGAGTTGGAACTAGAATGCACGAAAACTATGACTTAGTTGAAGTTTTAAAAAGTGAGATATTCTGCAAATATGAACCATTCATCCTCGCAACACAGGCTAAGAAGGTGGCATACACAGAGTATCCTAGAGTAGCTAGTAGGGCAAAAGGAGAATGGTTAGCTGTTTGTGATATAAAACCACGTGGCTGGGTTGAAACCACATGTGATACACAAAAGCTCCAGAGTAATGACGATTTCGCATACCATGAAGATGCAAGAGAGCTAGGCAAAATTGTTGAGTTTGAAGCGCACGAGGATGTTCCACTACTTATAGAAGTTCCACAGTTAGTTGATCTCGATGAAAGTGAGGACGATAAAGTTAACGATGTTGAGATATTAATTATTACTGATGAGAGCTTTAGCGAAAATGAGTTCATCTCAAATGATGAATTGTTAAAAAATAGACTTTAATGGAGAAGGTGGTCAAACAATTATATTGTTGTTTATATTTATGTGTTCATATTATTATTTGTTTACTAATCCTTTATTTTTTTTTGCAGATGACTGGTGGAGATAAGGGTAAGGGCCACGCAAAACAAACAAAGTCCAATGCAGGGAAGTGAAAAGAACTTTCTAGGTTGTGACATGCTATCCTTGGTGGTGGTAGATAATTCGGGACATCAGCCAACGCATCAGCCGGCGCCTCAGCCAATGCATCAACCACGACATTAGCTAGTGCCACTATTGCAGATTGTAGGGTGCCTGTCAAATCGCCCACTGGCCCTCGTGACACAAATGTCACTAACACCTCTTCTGACGGGTTTACACGTTCAACTGATGAGTCCAAGATGCGCGATGATGAGAGCATGGATTCAGACGTGTCGATAGAGCATGAGCATGATGATGCCATGAACCTTGGACCGAGTGTAGCATAATTTTATTGCTCTGGCGGGTGATTTTACATATATATCTTATTATTTGCATGTATACATGATTATAATATATATTGTAATGTTGTAATTATAATATCTTGTAGTGTCGTCATCATGGAGGAGGGAGCTCGGATCATTTGTTCCACATTGTAGCGGAGGCTCGATCCAACAGGGGGTAATTGGAAGAACCTAAGCACCGCGATAGTGGACTTTTACTGCAAAGAGTTTCAGGAATTGAAAAATTCAGTCAGATACAAATTTCAAATGTATGATTTTAATATTTTTTATTTTGTTTAAGATACTATCTAACATGGATGGTCTAACTTTTTTTTTTAAAATTTAGAAATATGCTTCTTGGGACCCTCGCATTGATGACCTGACTATGTTCCGTGCTTGGCAATCGAAGGCTCGAAGACGATACACTGATTGGCTCTCATCTATTAAGATTGAGAAGAAATAAACAGAGAAGGTCCAACCACTTCAACTACAAACGTGGATGGAGGCATTTCAAAATTTCTATTGAATTGATGAGTTACGTTATACTTAGCTTCAAGTTTAAAATGTGAAAACATCACACTCACACACACATATGTGTATATATATATATTTCCAGGTGAGCTTTGCATTGGTCATTGGTGAGCTTTGTAGTGTAATGTAGTGAGTTTGACGTCATCTCACTAAAGCATGTCATCTCACCGTTAGGTGTCATCCGACTGGAGTATATATATATATATATATATAGTCCAAGTTATGTCTATGAGACAAAACTTCAATACTCGTTATACATACTTATGTCTTGGGGATACGAGTTGTGTTTTAATTCTATCTGGAGTGATTCTTTTTGGTATTTGATGAAGTCAAAAGAGATGTCAAAATTTATATCTCGAGATATCACAAATTCTTCAAATGCAAGATTTTAATATCTCTCGAATTTGTGAGATATCAATAGTGGGAGTTTGATATCTTCCTCAATCGTAGACCATTCTCCACCACATGCTACCATTTTCACCGCCAACAACCCTCGTTGCCAGCTGTCCCCGTTTATCATTAATTAAATCATGATTTTAAAATCTCTCAAAATAACTTCATTTCAGATTTCAGTATGCATATTATTTTCTAAAATTTCAAAATCTATATGATATCATATCTCCAACACTCATCAAACGATTCTTAAGTCAATTAAATTTCTTCATGTTCATCGCATACCAATCTTTATTCAGATATTTTTTGCTCAACTTATTGAAGCTGTGACCTCTCATTTATTTAAGAAGAGTGATTTTACATGGTTTAAAGGTCCATATTTAAAATGTGAATTTTCTCGCATTTTCATGGGCTTTCATGTGGATGCTTTCTAGTTTGAAAAAAGTTCACTTCTTTTAGCCTATCCATATACCAAAATTTATAAAATAAACATGCAACTTACATACATAGAAGAATTTATCATTTGAGAAATTTATAATGATATTGCTAAATCACTAAACTATCTCACAAAAAAATGAATTTGTCATTTAAGAAACTTATAATGATGTTGCTAAATCACTAAAATATCTCACAAAAAAATGAATTTAAAATTTAAAAATCAAATATCCTTAACCGTGTGTGATGTGTCAAGTTGTAGTCATGGAGTCCTAACGGCAAAGAGGTGTGAAATGGGTTGTGACGCAGAGAGTACTCCAAGTGACAGGTGTTTGCTGGGCCTTAGAATTCTTCCACGAGTGGGATTTTAGGGCGACCCTGTCGGTGGAGGTTTTTTTTTTTTTTGCAGCATATGCAATAGGATCTTCTCCGTCTTCTTCTCCTTTTCCGACGCAACAATTCCAATTCCTCTCCAATACGGAGTACTATATTATCATAAATCAATTGCACTGAATCGAGCATTAGAAACCAATTCTTTTTACAGCAGTTTTAGTTCCCACAGACTACAGAGGGAGGGCCCCACCCTACCCCTCACCCACCGCGTCCGGTTATCCTTATCCTTCAATCCTTCTTCTATAACTCTGGGTTTTTCTCAAAGCTCCGATCTTTAATTAAAAGATTGGATTTTTCAGTCTGGGATCTCAAGATTGCACCCTCCCCCGTCAACTTCGGACCTATTCACTTCTGGGTTTCCTCCTCTTTATCTGTGCAAGTAAATCAAAATTTGTTGCATTACTGTTTCTATCGTTTGTTTGACATGGCTTGTAATTGGTGTTTGGTTAAGACTATTTGGAGAGAATTTAGTTCTTTAGCTTCATTTGTTTTTGTTGTAAAAGTTGTCCAGGATTGCAGTCTGTTCTTTGCCATTCACTGGTTTTGGTTCTAAGTTTTGTTAACTAAGCAGAGTTTTATATTATTTGTATTAATTTGGGAAAAGATCTATGGTAAGATTTGATGTATCCTATATTTAGAAGATTCTGGGCTCATATATATCCATATTGGGAACAGAAATGAATAACAGAAATATTATTAATGTTTTCAATTCTTCTCAATCCTTAACAAGTCTTAATCTTTGGAGTCGAATGTGAGGGAGGAGATTGATTCTATTAATGAATTTGAAACTTGGAAAGTGAAATGATGTTTCTTTGAATCTTTTGTTTCAATTTTCAGTGAATGATTGGTGAGGGCAACACCAGTTTGTGACTGAGACCAGACACTTTATGAGATTGTGTTTGGTTTGAAGTTTGGACTTTGGAGTTCTGATGGACTTTAGGGAGAGAGAATGTGCGGTTGATGTTGAGACCGGTGTGGGTGAGACTATGAGTGAAAGAGTGGACGCAAAAACGAGGAACTCTATTGCGAGCTGTGTGTGTGGCTGGAAATTGGATGGTTCAAATAAAGGGCAAAATGGGGTTTTGCCGGTGAAGATTGAGAAAACCGAGAAAGAGAAGCAACGAAAGTCGGTGCGTGCTAAGAGGCCTCCCAAGCCCCCAAGACCTCCAAGAGGAATGCCATTAGATGATGCCGACCAGAAGCTGATCAAAGAAATACACGAACTTGCCATGATAAAACGTGCGAGGATTGACAGGATGAAGGCTTTGAAGAAACTGAAAGCGTCGAAGGAATCATCCATGTCTTCAACATTTAGTGGCAGTTTCTTTGCTATGTTTTTTACAGTTCTATTCTTTATGGTGCTAATCTTCCAAGGTATGTACTCCCAACCCGGGTTCTTGTTTCGTTATAGGATTTTACTTGATGTGTTGTTTTTATATCTTACTCCCTCCTTCCCAATAAAAGGTTCCACCTTTGATGTGACACAGATATTAAGAAAAAAGAAATTGTATGGTTCAAAGTGATGCACAAGAGAAAGAAATTATAAAGACCACAATTTTTTCGCTATAAGTGGAAAGTAGTTTTTTTTGTTGGGTGAACAAAAAAAGAAATGTGGAACCTTTTTATGGATCAGAGGGTCAGAAGCATATAGTGCTTATAAACATCCCCTTTTGCAGGGATGTCATCGGGAAATCGTTCTCCAAGGTTTCATGGAACCCAAAAATTGTCTAGTTCATCAATGGCAGCCCGTTCTAAATCTACCATGTACATTCAAGAATCTTGAAACTATATTGCCTAGTTTTTTGGTAAATTTGTCCTTTATCTTTTTGTGGCAATAACTATACTAAACTGAACCTACATTCGGTTTGCAGCATGAAGGAGAAGAGATCTGTTCAGTTTCAAAGGATATGATACTGCCCTCTGTACAGCGGATTTTAGAATGGATTGCGAGCGGTTAGTTTGTTACTACAGATTAGGTTCCGGTCATTGTATTTATTAACAATCTGTCATAGGATCATTTCATTCACAGTACTTTAATCATATTGGTAAACAATGTAGTAGTGTATAGAAAACATAACAAAAGTTGTTTATTATAAATACGGCTAAAACAACCTAAAAGTCGAATATTACACCAACAAGACATACAATTTGTTGGTTAGCTGTGCTCCTAGGTGTAATATTCTTTTGAAATATTCGACTTTTGGACCGTTTTAACACTATTTATAACAAAAGACTTTTGTTGCTTTGAATGGACTACTACATTGTTTATCGAGTGACAACCTGACCTAGTATACGCATGGAATGTGCGGGTTAGCGTGTTTACCCAAGGTTGGATTAGTGGCGGGTTGTATTTGCTTCTCGAAAGGGTTATAGACGCTTTCGAACAGGTAAAAACACCGCTTCTATGTTCTAGGCATTTCATTCCATTATTTTTTTTCAAATTTTTTTTCTTATGTGATATACTTTATTCTCACTTTAGGATCTGCTGCTCTATTTGAAGTATAACAATTGCTCCAATTAAAATGTGATAATGATCTTTGAAGTTTTTAAATTTCATAGAAATTCCTATATAGAATTAAGGCATGTTTCTTATGGAGTAGATTAGAAAAAGACCTTCAATATTTTTATATCAACATAGGATTTATAATGTCAACATAGGAGGAGTAGGAACCGTCAATTTTACAAACGGAGCTTCGTACAATTATCGGGTCATCCCATGTCATGGGAACTGCCCCCATAATGGGTTACCTTCCAAGAATAGTACTCAGAATAAATTTCCTTAAAAAAATAGTCAGAATAAATTAAATGCTCTCCATTTGGTCATTTTTCTCTTGGTCTACTTGTCTTCTTCTCTTCTTTAATGACAATCACCTTGTTTTCAACTTATCATTCTCTTTTTCTCTATTTGTAATTGACCAATAAGAAATCGAAAACTGGTTCTTCCAATATTTTTATGTAGGTTTGTAATATTCATAGATGCTCATATTTAAATAGTAAATAAAGAATCTTCTTTCTATTTTGTCAAATATTTCTGAGTATTGCCTCTAAATACCCTTTCCCGTCCAATATTTTTTCTTTCTTTTTGATTATTTCATAATTTTTTTCCAATTTCTTATTCTGCTAAAGAGTTTTGTCTTATAAATGTCTAATTTACTATCATCCCAAAAAATGTCACAATATGGCTTTTTTAGTTAAATTATGCAATATTTTGACTACAAATTATGGAAAAAGTAATATTAGCTATGACGTAAATTTAGAAAAATTTGATTCATTTTAAAGTGTAATTTTGATATATCAAATTTTTATAATATTTAAGCATTTAAAATATATTTAATTTGTTTTTAAAGAGTTACACAATTTGACAAAAAGTCAAACTGTGACATTTTTACAGGACGAAAGGGGTATGGGGCGTTCATCAAGGGGGTTGGCCTACCCATGTGGCGTCATTGCCGATCGACTTAGTCGGCATCACCGTGCCGAACTCCTCTATCCTTCTTCTCTCTTTCTTTTCCCCCCGATCTTCATTTCTCTTGTTCGGCATGCTCCCCTACCCATACCCTCTCTTCCCATCTTGATTGCGTGGCCGGGGTGGTCGTCAAGCCGATTCGCGTCAAATAGTCTAATTGGGAAGAAAATTGAATGAAGTATGGGTATTGTTATATCCACTCCAATTCAAATTCTTTGAAAATTGCATGACTTATCATCAAACATTAAAAAGTACATTATTTACTCTCCAAGTCTTTGAAAATTACATGATTTACTTTTGAACATTAAGTACACCAAATACCCATGAATAATTTAAAACGGTATGGTACCATTGGTCCTAATATACTAGATAGGGAGTGAGTTGCTCCCGCGCACCGGAATTGCGAGTATGATTCATGTGACCCTTGTGAATGCTCCAAAGTACCCTCCCCCAAATTATCATTTTTTATTTAAATGTTCAAGAGTAAAGCAATTTCCGAAGAGTTCAAGGATATTTGGTGCACTTTTTAATATAAGTGAGTAAATCGTGTAATTTCTGAAAAATTAAGGGGTATTTGGTGCTTTTTTTAATGTTTAGGGATAAAACATGCAATTTTTAAAAAAATTATGGTTGAACAGTGCACGGGGAACTTTTCTCTTTTTGTTATATTCACTTTTTTTATATTAAATAGACAACTTTTCCTTTAAAAATTCGTTTGCATCTAAATTTTTTGGTTTTATATTTAAGGGTAAAAGTATCAATTCATCATAAGAGCACTGGAAATACCCGTGAAGTCCCGGGGCTTCAAACCAGGGCTTCAAAATTTTTTTCTCTACCACCGTACCACGTCAGCTTTAACTTGATTCAGTGGAAATGGGTTTGAAGCCCTGGGGCTTCAAACCTTCATTTTTTACATTTTTAAATATACATCTTCTAAAAATAAAATTTAATTATTTTATTATTTAATTATATTGAAACAAGAATAATTAAAAAAATACATTCATTAAATTAAAAGAAATTGAAGCGAAAATAATTTTAAAAAATTACATTCATTAAATTAAAAAAAAGAAAGCGACAATAATAAAACAATACATTAATAAAAATACTAAGGTAAATTATATTTGGCCTTAATCTCTTTTTTTCTTCTATTAATAAAAAAACTAAGGTAAAAAAATACATTACTAAAAAAACTAAGGTAAAAAATTACATTTTTTTGCTTCCAACGGCTAAATTAGCCATTATAGGAGGAGGAGTTTGCGTCAAATGTATGACACTGATGCAATGACGCCGGGATGAAGCCCCAGGGGGGCGGTGTTTAGCGCCCCCTGGGCGTCAAAAAGGGCGTAACGCCGCTTGGCGTGATATGTATTACCACTGCTCTAAATGGAATGAATTTTCGCCAAATCAGAGTAGCTTTAGCAAAACCTATTGAGGCTCTTGTTATAAAATGAGAGAAAAACTAATCAAAGATTATGAGAATAGATATAATATATTTCTGATTTCTTCTCTCTATTAACTCTTCACTCTTCTTCTTATTCTTAATGGTAATTTACAGGGATCCTAAGCCTCTTATTTATAGTAGAGAGGCTTAGTGCTAACATTATTACAAATAGTATACATACTATACAAATGACAGCTTGATGGTGATAAATGATGATGGACAATTTGTTCCTGCAACTTATGATGGAGCATGACCTAATTAATTGATAAATGAACAATTCATATTTTTCTTAACACTCCCCCTTGAATGTTCATTTTTCAATTGATGATGGATATTCGTGAAATGGGTATAGTTTAGGAACCCATTCTAATTTTATGTACTGCTTCGTTAAAAACCTTGTCAGGAAAAACCCAGTGGGATAAAAACCTGATCAAGGGAAAAAGAGTACAGTTCATAAAATTCTCCCCTTCAGCTTAGCATAATTGACAGAGACGACGCATGCCAATCTTGTGTACGAGTTCTTCAAATTTATTCGGGGGCAATGCTTTTGTAAATAGATCAGCACGGTTCTCGCTCGACTTGATTTGCTTGATGTCAACCTTTCCATCTTTCTCGAGATGATGTGTTGAGAAGAACTTTGGTGATATATGTTTTGTTCGGTCTCCTTTGATGTAACCTCCTTTCACTTGAGCAATGCATGCAGTCTTGTCTTCATATATAGGAGTCGGATGACTAGTAATTGTTTCTATACCGCACTCGCTCTGGATATGTTGGATCATTGATAGCAACCATACACATTCTCTACCTGTTTCATACAGAGCTATCAACTCCGCGTGATTTGATGATGTGGCAGTCAAAGTTTGTTTCATCGATCTCCATGATATTGCGGTATCGCCATAAGTAAACACATATCCTGTTTGAGACTTTGCCTTTTGTGGATCAAACAAATATCCAGCATCAGCATATCCAACAAGAGTGGCCTTGGCATCTTTGCGGTAGAATAAACCAAGGTCGATGGTACCATTGAGATATCGCAAAATATGTTTAATGCCATTCCAATGCCTCCTAGTCGGGGTCGAGCTGTGTCTGGCTAATAAGTTCACTGAGAATGCAATATCTGGCCGAGTGTTGTTTGCTAGATACATCAAAGCTCCAATCGCACTCAGGTGTGGTATTTCTGGACCGAGTATTTCTTCATCATCTTCACGAGGTCGGAATGGATCATCATGTACATTGAGAGAGCGGACAACCATCGGGGATGTGAGAGGATGTGCTNGTTGTTTGCTAGATACATCAAAGCTCCAATAGCACTCAAGTATGGTATTTCTGGACCGAGTATTTCTTCATCATCTTCACGAGGTCGGAATGGATCATCATGTACATTGAGAGAGCGGACAACCATCGGGGATGTGAGAGGATGTGCTTTATCCATATAAAACCGCTTCAGAACCTTCTTTGTGTAATTTGACTGGTGGATGAATATTCCGTCTCTCAAATGGTCAATTTGAATACCAAGACAAAATTTTGTTCTCCCAAGATCTTTCATCTCAAATTCTTTCATGAGATATTTTGCAGTATTTTCTATTTCATCAGAAGTTCCAATGATGTTTAAATCATCAACATATACTGCAATATTGGCAAAGCTTGATTTAGATCTACGGATGAAAACACATGGACTAATTGGATCATTTTTGTATCCTTCTTTGAGCAGATATTCACTGAGACGAGTATACCACATTCTGCCAGATTGTTTTAGTCCATATAGTGACTTTTCCAATTTTATGGAAAACATCTCTCGAGGTTTTGAACTATAAACCTCAGGCATCTTTAGCCCTCCAGGAACTTTCATATATATGTCAGTATCGAGAGATCCATATAAATATGCTGTCACTACATCCATTAAACGCATTTGAAGTTTTTCAAAGACAGACATGCCTATCAAAAATCTCAACGTAGTTGCATCAACTACTGGGGAATAAGTTTCGTCATAATCTATCCCCGGAATTTTAGAAAAACCTTGGGCAACGAGTCAGGCTTTATATCTCACAATTTCATTTTTCTCATTGCGCTTACGCACAAAAACCCATTTGAAACCAACTGGTTTCACGCCTTCTGGCGTAGGAACTATAGGCCCAAAAACACTCCTTTTTCAAGTGATTTCAATTCTGCCTGAATTGCTTCGTTCCATTTTGGCCAATCATGTCTACGTCGACATTCATCAACTGAAGTTGGCTCAATGTCATCATTTTCATCCATGATGTTTGTGGCAATGGCATATGCGAATATATCATCAACATGAACATCTTTTCTATTCCATTGTAATCCCGTAGAAACGTAATTTATTGAAATCTCATAATTATCAACGTTTCTATCTTCATCTGAATTATTCGCATCCTCAGAGATGGTTAAATCCTCATTTGAAACAAATTGTTCGTTGATATTATTTTTTATATCAATATGCTCGGTTCGTTCATTTTCTTTCTTTGAAGAATGAACATCTTTTGTTTCAAGTATTGTCTCTTGCCTTTTAAGTTTTCTTGGTTTTACATCTTTTGAACCAAGTGGTCTGCCACGCTTTTTGCGTATTGAAGACTCATTTGCAAGAGTTTTTTCATTTTTCTCTGAAGGAATTTCAATTCTTGCAGGAGCATTCATATCAGGAATATGTGACTTTGTCACTTTCTTCAAATCCGTGAATGCGTCAGGCAATTGATTTGCAACATTTTGTAAATGAATTATCTTTTGCACTTCTTGTTCGCATGCATTTGTTCTTGCATCATGAAAAGGTAATCCTGTTGCATTCCATGTAATCTCTTTCGTACATGGGTCCTTTTTCTCATTTTCTCCCCCTAAGGCTCGGAATACTGTCTCATCGAAATGACAATTAGCAAACCGAGCTGTGAATAAATCACCAGTCATTGGCTCAAGATATTTTATAATTGAGGGAGAATCAAAGCCAACATAAATTCCCAGCCTTCTTTGAGGACCCATTTTTGTACGATGTGGTGGAGCAATTGGTACATATACGGCACATCCAAATATTTTTATGTGAGAAATATTTGGTTCTTTTCCAGTAACCAATTGCAATGGGGAAAAAATATGATTTGCAGTAGGCCTTAGCCGAATTAAATTTGCAGCATGCAATACAGCATGTCCCCAAACAGATGCAGGTAAACTGGATTTCATCAATAATGGTCTAGCAATTAATTGTAA